AAGTAAGCAACTTAGGTGTGTAAGCAACTAGCCTATAAAGTATGTTATAAAGATAATATAATTATTACTATTTACATGCTTTTTTATTTATTACACCTTTTATAGCTACTTAATGTAGGTTGTTTTACTCTTTTAAAGAAAGTATATAGGCGCTAAGCTAAAAGCTTTGTATGTAACTAAATTACTTATATTATAAAAATAAAGTTCTTACTATGCTTTAAAGTAGCTTATAATGCTATAATTACTTTTAGTAATATCTAAAAAAGGGTTTAAAGCGCTAGATTAGTTTCTTTTAACCTATAATAAGTTATAATAGACTTTAATATAAAGTTGCGCACTCTATTACTACTACTACTTATATATAATAAGCCCTAGTAGTTGTAAACTCTAAGTAATACTTTAAAACTTAAGTTATAATTAATGCTTATAAAGATAAAAATTTAGAAGCATATAAATAGTTTACTAACTTTTTTAGTTAAGGTGTTTAAGAAGGTTTTAAAAAAGGTAGTAATAATTACACATAAGCTAGTGTTAGTATAATAAGAAATTACTAATCTTTAAAAAGCTAATTAAGCTGCTACATAATATAAATTATATAAAAGAATGTAGATTAAAGCAGAAGAAACTTTAATAATTTAAAAAAGCCTACGCTTAATAGCTTTAAAGAAGTTTAAAGCGCACAGTAATAAAAAAAAAGGCAAAGAAGTAGGTATAAGCTAAAGTAGGTAAGCTATCCTAAAGGCGCTGCAGATAGTGTAATTAGACTAGTTATAACACGTAAACATGTAAGTAAGCAGTAGAAGTAGTATCTAAATAATATTCTAGGCTGTACTATACTATATAGTACTAGAGCGGGTTGTTATAGGCTATAATAGAGTTTGTTAGGGTGGGGTCTTAGCAAAATTAAGCAACTTAGGTGTGTAAGCAACTCGCCTGTGAAGTACGTTATTTAAAAACCTAAAGTATAAGGTATATCTAATGTTCTTTTAGCACGTCTAAGTAGTGTTATTAGGAATGCATTAGTGTAAGAAAAGTAGTTTAGTAGGGTCTTAGTAAAGTAAATAACTTAGGTGTGTAAGCAACTTGCCTGTAGAGTACGTTATACAATCATGTACTTATATATATTCTTCTACTATGCTAGCTATAATGTTAACCCTTTAGCAAAGCAATAGAAAGTTAAAAACAAAAGGGTATAATATACTAAATATAGGCTAAAATCATCTTATCTAACATAGTTTATTTAGACTAGAACGACTTTAATTATTTAAAAGTTAGATAAAATAGATTTCTTAAGCTAGAGATTCGTTACTACTTATATACACCTACTTCTTTGTTCTATGCCTTGCTGCATTCGTCTATACATTTGTTTATTCATCTATGCCTCTCTGCATTCATCTATGCCTTGCTGCATCTAGCTACTCGCTCTTTGTCTATCCTATTCTAATATACCCGCAGTTGGCTAAAGTAAGGTCTAATTGTTACATGAAGAAAATATATATCTTAAAAGACGCTTTAAAAAATATATTAAATATCTAATTTATATTAGAACTACTAGAGAGATTTAAATTTAAAGTTGGACTACTAATTAATACTCTCTACTATTCTTAGCTTTGATTTTCCAATACATTTATAAATTATTACAGTATGTTATTTTAATAATAACATAACATTTAGAGTAAAACAAATTATTAATAATAATTAACTTGAATAAAAATAAACCTCTTCTTTTAGTTTTTAAAACTTCTTAATTTTATATTCTATATTTAACTTAGTATTAATATTACAGCATAGAACTAGCTATGTAATTTTATCTTTAAGTATATAAAACTAAAGTTAATAGCTTTCAAATATCTTTTAACTCTACTTAGATTTACTAGCTAACTATTAGTTTTATTAATGTAATTTATAGAAAGAAAATATAAAGCTTTTAAAAGACTTTAACGTAAGCTATTAATTATTAAATTTAAATTAAGATACTAAGAATAATAAAAGTTAAAATCTTACTACTAAGACATACCTTTTATGTAAAGCTATAAGAAGCACGAGAGCTATAATGAACCGGATTGCATTGATTGCTAGAGAAGTGCTTGTAGGAGTCTATATATATATAAAATAAGTAGGTAAGTCTTAGCCGCATACATCATCGTAAGATGTATATAATCATAGTGACAACGCATCCAACGATGGTGACAACGCATTCGACTACCGTGTGACTACTGTAAACATTTCTCTATACTAAGCGTTGCTTTTCTAAAACATTTATAAGTTAGAGTAGTATGTTATATTATTATACTATTTTTCTTTTCTTTAAACTTACGCTAAATTAATACTAAAATAATAAAGAAAATGCTATATAAAATCTAAAGGTTTTATATTTTAAATAAAAAGTATGTTAAACTAATACTTTTAACGCTAATAGAAAATAGCTGTAGAATTGTTACAATACTTAGATATTAGTGTAACAAGGTAGGGACAGTTAACTACGTGGCCTTCTCTCGCTTATAGAGGTTTAGGCTAGACTAAAGACAACCGCTAGTGCCAGTGCTAGCCCTAGAATTACCTATATATATATTATACTATGCGAGAATACTTTGCTTAAGTATTCTCGTGCGTACCTTTTAGTGCAGCAGAGAAAGTCGTATAGTATCGGCTTGGCAGGCGGGGCACCTACCTGATTTCAATTAGAGTATAACTTTAGAGTAATATTATTGTTTAATATCTTTTCTTTTATAGCTTTAAGATAGTTTTATCTAGTAAAATTAAAGTCTTTTTATATTTAAGAACAGCTTATATTAATAAAAGTAGACAACTAAATTAAGAGATTGTATCATCTATCTATATAAAGCAAGAAACCTCTTATGCTAAGAAGAATTCAAGATACTTTAACTAGCGTACACTATAGACAAGTTGCTTACACACCTAATGTTGCGTCGCTAAAAGGTCAACCTTCTAGCTAGCACAGTAGAAGGATATATATAGGCGGATAGTTGTATGCAATACATAAGTTACTTACTTTTACTAAGACTATACTAAACTAGTCTTTTTACACTAATACATTATTAATAATACTACTTAGATGTGGTAAAGAAATGTTAGGTAGAGCTTATACTCTAGGCTTTTACATAACACGTAAGACTTTTTAAGTAACATGCTATACCTATGTATAAAGTGTTTTAAAAAAATTATTAACTAATAAGCTATATTACTATTATTAGCTAATGTTATAGCTAACTTATAAAAGCTAAATAATAATAAAAAGTAAGTGATTCTTAAGCATATACTTAAGCGAAATATGTAATAATTTTGCTTTTAGCTGGCAGCTATAGCTAATATAGCTAACTATTTACACGTTAGGCATAATCTAAGCTATATTAGCATAAACTAGGCTAATATATTTATTAAAAGTTATCTAAAGATTAAAGTAAAGTTTTAAATATAAGTATAATTAGTAGATATCTAGTCTATTAGAATGTTTATTTTATTAAAGTTGTATATTTTATGATTCTAGATACTATAGTAATGTCTAATATTCTTTATAACGTACTTTACAGGCAAGTTGCTTACACACCTAAGTTGCTTACTTTTGCTAAGACTCTACTAAACTACCCTTTTTACACTAATGCATTCCTAACAACACTACTTAAACGCGCTAAAAGAACATTAGATACAGCTTACACTCTAAGCTTTTAAATAAGACATAAAAATTTTAAAGGAACATGCTGCAGGTATGTATAGAGTCCTTTAAAAGACAATAAATAACTATAGCACTAGACAACCTTTACAAGCTAATTCTATAGCTAACTTACAGAGGCTAGGCAATAATAAGAAGTAGGTAATTGTTAAGACTATACTTAAGCTATATGTGCAAGGATTTTCCCCTTAGATAGCATTTATAGCTAATATAGCTAATTCTTTGCGCGCTAAGTGTAATCTAGGCTATATTAGCATAAACTAGCCTAGTATGTTTGTAAAGCGTTATTTAGAGCTTAAAGTAACATTTAAGTGTAGTACAACTATAAAAGAGCTTTCTATAAGGGTCCTAAGGTAATTTAGGGCAGGTTTAGCCTTATAGAGAATGTTAAAGCTAAGTATAGCATCTAGGATAATAACATGTCTAACTTTAGTAAGATAGGCTTTATTATAGGCTAAATATCTATTAACTATACTTGCGCTTAAAACTTTACTTTAAGCTTAAAATAATGCTTTATAAATATACTAGGCTAGTTTATGCTAACATAGCCTAGATTATGCTTAGCGTTTAAAGAAGTAGCTATATTAGCTACATCTTCTAGCAAAGAGGAAAATTCTTACATATTTAGTTTTAGTATATACTTAATAATTACTTAACTTTTCTTATTATTTAGCGTTTATACGTTAGCTATTAAATTAGCTTATAAAAGTTATTTAGTGTGTTAGTTATTTATTATCTTTTAAAAAGCGTTATATATAGCTATAGTATATTATTTATAATGTGTTACATTTTATTTATAAGCATAGAGTGTACACTATATCTAACATTTTTTAACACATCTAAGTAGTGTTGTTAGAGATGTATTAGTGTAAAAAGAGTAGTTTAGTGTAGTCTTAGTAAAAGTAAGTAACTTAGGTGTGTAAGCAACTTGTCTATTGTGTATGTTATACTGTATTTAAATTCTAAACACGCTTGAAAACTAATAAAATTTCTACACTACTAACTCTAGGTTATTCTAATCTAACAGACACCTTTAAACCTAAAAATTGCCATCGCGTTGTTATTACCGCAGCCTAATGTATAGATCTTCTGTGTTGTGAAACAGATTTTATTAGCTATAGCACTAGTATAACCCTGTTGCAGCTACTAAACTTATAGAGTAGTTGTAACTAAGCTTTTAAATTTTACTAAAGTGTTTAAAACGCTAATATTAGCGTTGTAGCAGCTCTTACATGAAGATTCACGCCTAAGCCCTTCGTGTGTTAGTACATTTATTGAAAATAAGTAGTAATCTAGGGCTAGCGTAAGGTTATCTTATACATCTTATGTAACAACCTCTGTGTAAGTGATTCAGATCGATTAAGAGATCAACCTGTAGCTGCGCAGAGCCCTAGCACAGGCTGATTTAACTTTCGCCATGCCTTCAGAAATCGACACCGCGCAAGGTCATGACCAGGGTGAGTCAGCTATCCTCCCTGGTGGTGGCATAGGGCCCCCTTAGTTAATGCCTCCCCGCTGACAGTGCATCTCTGGGCGACTAATTCCATAAGTGTTCTTCTAGTAATCATCTATAATTAAGGCTCCCATCCAACATAGAAAAGGAAACACAGGCTTCGCACGTCGTTATTTAATAGTACATGTACATGAGATAACTAATCTCGGTCCGATCGCGTATCTAAATGTAGAGCGCTAAGGCCTACTTCCTCTGCTTCCCATCCTGCTAGCGTCTTTGAGGAAGAGATATGATATGGATGACTCGCGCCGAGACAGTGACGTGTTAACTGCACACACTGAGTCATAAGTTTAATAGCCTCTGTATCACGGCCCTGCATTTTTCGGGTAAAAGCAAGATTGGCCATGCTGTTCAGCGTGGAAGGATGGTCCGCTCCCAGCTTCTTCTTGCGAGTCTCCATCACTTGCAC